CGGGTGGGGGGGGGGGGGGGGGGTCGGGGGGGGCGGGTGGGGGGGGGGGGGTGTGGATAGGGGTGGGGGGGCAGTCAGGGGACTGGGAGCAGGGGGGCTGGATAGGGGGGGGTGTCCTGGGAGGCGGTTAGGGGTGGGGGGTCCTGAGAGGGGGCAGTTAGGGGACAAGGAGCTGGGGGGGTTGGATGGGTCAGAGGTTCTGAGGGGAGCAGCCAGGGGGCAGGAAGTGGGAAGAGGCGGATAGTGGGCAGATAGGGGGTGAGGGCCAGGCTGTTTGGGGAGGCACAGCCTTTGCTACCCGGTCCTCTATACAGTTTTGCAACCCCAATGTGGCCCTCGGGCCAAAAAGTTTGCCCACCCCTACTCTAGCAGCACCTCAGAACAGCAATATAACATAAGCCTTATAAAGTGCTGCTTCCTTCTGAAGGCTTGTGCTCATTATGTTGTGCCTTCTGTGTCCAAATGCAGAAACTGAAACAGCTACTTAACATGTAAAAAAGTTTTTTGGGTTTTTTTTTAGTAGGCAAAAGGACTGCAGTTCTCTGTGTAAAGATGCAAAGTGCCTCATTTGCCATCAAAGTTAATGAGGATGTCAGTGAGGTTCAGCTCCCAGAGGTCACTGTGGAGTCTGCCAAAAAAAAAAGAAAGAAGAAGAAGAAACTATGAATAGTAATGAGCATCTCACCGTGAGGTAAAACAAAGAGGACGGTATAAGACACATAGCTCAGCTACATGCAGAATAATGACATTGTGAGCAGTGCCTCTTGTGTACTACACAACTGAATGAAGGCGTGCAATGTGTGGGCTGAGAAAGCTTTGAAGCAATCACTAAGGATGAATTGTACTTTTAGGTGCAGATCGGGCTGGGGCTGTGCCAGACTACTCCTGGGGTGCGGTTCCCAAATGCTTTGTGGACCACTTCAGCATACAGCGAGAGCTCATCTGCTACAGCACCCCTTTTGGGACTGTAGAATACACTCCATTTCTAGTTAGCTTCCTCCTAGTGCTCCCTAGATTCCTCCTACTCCTCCCTGGCTGCTTTGGTTCATCATGGGAGTGCAGGTGTAACGCTGACAGACCCCGGTGGTCAGTGGGCGGGATCAAACCGGGGACCTATGGAGCTTAGTGCATGAGCTTCTACTGCATGAGCTAAAAGCCAAATAGCTGTTAGCTACGGCTGTAGAGCAGACTCATTTAACTCTCTCTCTAAGTGGTCTCGGTGCCACTAAATGGGACAGAGCACCACACCCAGAAGGTGTGAGGGTTACACAAGTAAAGCAGTCTTTGTTGTCCCATGAGTGCAGGGACTGCACAGATCTGGGCGACGGTGCGGGGGACAGACATTCTAACATGCATGTAATGGTATCCATGGGCCATTGCAGAAGTGTAGAATTGCAGAGTTTAATAACACTTTGCTTGTTCCATCTCCTGACACACCCTTGGTGTGGCTCAGAATACCCCCTCTGTAGCATTTCTACAAGGTGTGACGAGGGTTGCAGAACTTTCTACAGAAGGCCTGTTCCCCAGAGGATTGGCACCACAGTGAATTCTCCGATCGTCACTCTCTGGAAGGTATGGGTTCAAAACCAGTAGCTAATTGTTCTAATCTGTCAAAAAGCAGTGGGTGGCAGTACAATGTAACTGGCCACCAATGTCTTATCTTTTCCTATACAATCTTTTAGTATAAATGGGCACGTGAATAAACAGATAACTGGTTGTAGAACTAACATGTCAATCAATGAATCGTGGAGTTTTGGTTAAGTAAACAGAAAGTACCAATCATCTCATGAGAAATTCTATTGTCACCAGAGACTAATTCCACTTCTTACTGGGACAAATTTCCTGCACTGGGCCCAAGATTCCCAACTGTATTTTACTAATGCAAGAGGGTTGTATGAGATTCAGAGAGCTTCAAAACCATTGGATGATTACCCACTCTGAACTAGTTAATCCACCTCTTTTTCAAGCATAGTAATAAGCAGTTCAATTTACTGGATTGCCTGCTTCACAATGCAAATGCAATGCAAAACCCTTACATTTAATAGTGTTGCCCCTGTGCCACTCATGAGACGACACTATTATCGTTATTAACATATGCTGCGCTATGCGTATTAGTATTCAGGAGTGAAGTGCATGTGTATAAGAGACAGAATATTTTCAACAGCTAGCCCACCAGTCTGGAACTAATCCTGTTAGATGCCAGTATGACTGTAAATCTCAGCACTTTCAGATCACAATGCAAAAAATAGCTTATTGGACCTAGTTTTACCTCAGGCCCTACACATTTAGGACTCAACTCTGCAAGCAATTATGGGTGTGATTAATGAGACTATTCACGTGGATAAAGTTAAGCATGTGCCTGAGGGTGTGTCTATAGGAACAGTCAGTGCATAGGAAGCTGGGATGTAACTATCTCAGTAGCCTGCCATGTGTTCTTTGTCCATGCAGATCTTGCTGGCGTGTACTGAACAGGGCCGGCTCCAGGCACCAGCCCACCAAGCATGTGCTTCGGGCGGCACTGGAGGGGGGCGGCACGGCGCGGTGCTCCGGCCCGAGAGCGGGGCTGCGACTGCGCTCGCCGCCCTCCCCGTGGTGCGCTCTGGGGAGGGGCGGCCGGCAGGAGGCGTTTTTTGCTGGGGCGGCGACAAAGACAACACCG